AGCATATGGAGCAAAGATGGGACTTTGGAAGGTAGTTGCCACAGACCTGGTTGTTGTTTTCAAAATCCTTTCAAATGGGGCATAAATGGAAATGTGTGTTTAATGCAAATATAAAACTGGTACTTTTTTAGCAGAGTGTCCCAGAGGATATGATGCTTTTACTGTAAGGATCATAGATTATTTGAGTGATAAAAAGCATTTTGTTTTAATGTAAGGATCATGGATTATTGAAGATATAAACAGCATTTTCTGAATGCTAATGCCTGGAAAAGAACTTTTCCTGTAGGTGTGGTGAGGTTTCTGGGAGAACACTTGAAATATATTATACTGCCAGTGTCATGGAAATCTCTGTCCCTGCACTGGAATAAGGAGTGTCCCTTGGGGTTTGATTTGGTTGTCCTCATATGGCTGCCTCATGCTATTTCAGAAGGTGATGAGATCCCTGTTGGGAATTAACCTCTCCTGAAAGCCCTCTAGTTAGTCCCTCAGATCACCGAGTGCTGCTGGCCGTAGCCCAGCAATCAGACTGCAGGATGCACTGAGAGGAGCTTTGGTGGCAGAGCTTCTTCCAGCCCTGTGGCTGCAAGCTGCCAGGTCAGTGCTGAAAGATGCAGTCTGCCTGAGTGAGTTTCCTTTGAACTTCATGTATCCTTTTCTGTTCCCTTCCAAATGGAGTCATCTCTTCAGTAATAGTAGTAGTTGATAAGGAGCTATCTAGGGATAGCCTCCATGAGCACCTGTAAGGTAGTCTCCCTCCTTTAATGCCCCTGAATCAAGACAGTTTCTTACCTGCTGTTGGAGATTTTTTTTTTTTCAGGATGTGCATAGTGACACCCAAGAGTATTTATGAATGTCATAAGCAAAACAATTGCATCAGATGCAATCTCAAAGTTACAGTAAAGGGTGTTTCCAGGAAAAATACATGGAAATCGATGTAGTCAATAGCTATAATTCTGATGGAAAGCTCGATTGACATTGAAAGGTGTTGGAGGGGTGTATAAACCAAATGAGAAAGTGGATCTTTTCTCATTACGTGAGGTGAGAAGGGACCTAATTCATCAGTGGATTTAGTCCTTGACAGTTGCACATACTACATCATCTTCCACCATGTATTCCTGCATTCAAATTCCTTTTGGGCTTCTCTACCTGAAGATGCCTGTGAGCAGATGAAGCTTCTCTGTTGCAAGCCCATGTTCTGGAGTTTAATAACTCTTGCTCCCAAGATTTTTGATCAAATTCTCTCCAATTCTTGTAAGAACAGCTGTCCACGGCTTGTGTTTTTTGGCAGCCCTCTTCTGTGTTTGCTCTAGGCATAGTTTGTCTATGTGTGGTAATTCGAGTTGTATGTGGAGTCTCTGCTGTGTGAGGCGTACTAATTTTTTGTTCTTTCATAAAAGCAGCTTACTAGCAATGCAGACTAGGCTTGCATTTTGCTTTTTGATGGCTAAATCATGCTTTTTTTTGCTCCAAGCCACTTCCTTCCTGCTGTAGGCTTTCCTACAGCATATTTAATTCAGCTGTGTGTTTCTCCTTTTAAGTAGATGAACTTCCAGATTTTGCTGGAAATTCTTACTTAGTCAATGGGTGTTTGATCTTATGCTTCATGCTACTGCGTGTTATTTGCTATCCTGTTTATGCATTAAATCCGTATTTCTCTCGACATAGGATCCATTCAGTCTTAGCTCTCTCCTGTTACATCGTGACATCTTTCCTGAGCTGTGTCTTTTCTCCCCTGGTTCCTTGTCATCTGCATAGCATGTGATGTGACAGCTTTGCTGCCTACAACTGCATCTCAGCCCTGCTTTATGTGGCCTCTTGCTCTGGACCACCCTTTGGAGCAGACCTGGGCAAGATGCCGTGTTGTGGAGGTAAATGCTGAGTGGTTGTATGGGGCCTGGGTTACTGCTTCTCCTTGCCAAGCTGATACCATAGGCTTGGCTGCTGTCACTTCTCTGCATCCTGGGTGTCTGTTTAGCTGCTACAAGGGATTCTTCAGGTCCTATAGCCAAGCTCATAGGGATCAACCCACAAGGGGTCCAAGTGCTACCCTGCTATGTCACTAATACCCAACCTGTGCCTCACATGGCCATTTTTAAGAACAAGTGTTTCAGTCTGGACTTGGATACCCAGGTGAGAATCAGGTTGTTCATGAGGGCCCCTTAAATCTACTAGAGCTATTCCCTTAGCTCATGTGTGCTAAACTGGAGTAGCTACTGCCCAGGAAGCAGCTCAGCACTGACAAAGGGGGATTTGCACACCTGGCCCCCATAGGAACTTGGTCGTTACATAGCTTCACGCTCTAGGCTGCAACTGCATACCCTGTTAGTCACTAACTCCTTCCAGGTGCCACAGCTATTTTTACTACAGATCCCAACCTTACCTTGAAACTCCAAAACGGATTTTGCTGGCTCGTCCCTGCTAGGGTGCAAGGCAGGTGCTGGCTGCTCTCTGCCTCCTTGTCTTCTCCTCTCTTCCTGAGCTTACGCTGCCCAGCAGTGTCTGTGCGTGGTAGATGTGCCTCGGCGGGGATGGATGTTCACTCCACCCAAGTGTCTGAGTAAGGGAGGTACCCAGAGAGCTTGCAGGACACTGACACAGCGTGAGGAACTCGGATGTTACCAGTGCTGCCTGGCCCTGTCCCTCCACCCAGACGCCTTGTAAGCCTCTCTCCCCACACCAACCTTCTCTTTTTTTAGCAATGCAGTTCAGGGACTGGCCCACCCAGTGACAACAAGCAAAAGGTGTGGAACATGCCGAGAGCATTTGCATCACCTGTCTAGCACAAAGGAAGTTTATCCATATGTTCCTTGCAGCCCTGTTGTAGATAAACACACATACTCTTGAATGCATACATGTGTGAAAGAGCCTAATGCACATGAGGATGAGGAGGAGAACTTAGATGTTGTGCTGAAAAACAAGTCCTTGGAAAAGAGAAGCTTAAAACAGTGTGTCCCAGACAAAAAATCTTTAAGCACTGTAACTAAAAATACAAAAATGCCTGCAGTGAAAGATTGCTGATTACAGAAAGAATGTCATCCACTGTGTATGTTACCCGTCTGTAATGCTGAGTGATATTCCCTAAGCATGGTGTGTACCTTTCTGTGTTTCCCACAGGTGGTGAGGTTCGATGCTTGCTGGGGAAGGGCACCCACAGCTGCTGGTCTTCCCTGCTGGGACATTTCACATGCAGTGATGAAACACAGTGTAGTTCTGGTGGCATCGCTGATATCCTGGTAGCTACTGTCATGGTCTTTTTGCTCTGTATTGCCTGTGATTGGTATCTCTATCATGTGATGTTCCTTTATTGCTATAGCCTCAATTTTGCATGACTTCTTCTTGAAGCTAAAACCAGGAATGGGATTGAAACCTATTTCTTCTCAGCTTTTCTTCCTTTAGAAGTTTAGACAACCTGGGAAATACTTCTGTCTTGAGAAGAATTCTTTTTCTCTTTCACACTTAGTCATAGAAACAAGTTACATTTTTCTTAATTTTAATATTATTAAAATATTCTTAATTTTATTATTATTAATCCATTCTCTTTGGAGTCTTCATCCACTGGAGATAAACAAATGATAAGAGCACATCACTTTTATTACTGTTATTTTATTCTTTACCCTCCCTCCATTTTTTCCTCTTCTCCATTTTTCATTGCATTACTTTGCCTTTTGCAAGACTTTAACCTTACTTGTACTTTGCCCTTCCAGGCACATGCTTCCTCTCGGCTACCTGAATAGCCCTGTTTGAAGTCAGGAGGAAATCTTCAGCTGGGGGGTGTCAGAGAAGCTCAACCCCAGGTAACTGGATGACTTCATTAGCTTGATAAGCTTAATTCTTGCTTATCCTTTCTGATTCTGCACTCATTTCTGCATGGACAGCTCACTGGATTATGACTGATCGTTCTCGCTTCTCTGTAGTTAGAGAAGAAGTTGCTCCAGGAGAGGTTAAATACTGTCACGACAGCCCTTTGTGTAGGCATTTGTCTCGTTTAAAGAAGAAAAATGAGAGCAGCCCCCTGCTTGCATGGTGGGGAGGAGTCCCAGGGTCACTGAAGTAATTCCAGTGGCACGCTGGTACAGCCGAGTCTTGCTAATGGCACAGTGTTCAAGACAATTCCTCAGCTTTCTGCAAGTCGGGGCAGTTCTGCATAATGGGCATTTCTCAATTATGGAAGAGAGTGACAAGACAGCAGGAGACTCCAACGGGAAGATTACTTCACCGTAGTTCAGCAAGGAGGAGTTTTGTTAGGATTGCCCTCAGAGAGCGCCTAAGTAAACACTGCTTGACTCAGAGTCACAGCTGAAACTGTACGATCTGCTCGTAGGGGAAAAGGAAGCAAAGCCAGTTTGTGCTTTAAAAAATAAATAAAAAATGAGGTGCATCAGGCATGAAAATTATTTTTAAAAAATGGTAGTTTCATGTACTCTGTGTTGGATGGCTAGTCCCACTCACTGCCAGACGCTACTCTGGACAAGCTTTAAAGCAATCCTCTGAGAGCTTTCTATACTCCTCTTACATTCATTTCCTTCTGAGGTAGATCCGTAGGTGACTTGGAGGGGATGAGGGAAAAGAAGTGAACCAGGTCTTGTTGTTGATTTGGGATTTATTTTTTTTTTTTCTTTTCTCTCTTAAAGATCCATCAGTTTAATCTGCTTGTGCAGCTATTCTCCTCCATGCAATTTTCAGCTTGCATATGGGCTGTTCAGACTGGTTCCTGCTGAGCAGAGTCCTGCATGTTCTGCAACTTCTGCTGCTATGCTTGTAGCAGTGCAATCTAATCCTGTTGCTGCGCAGTGGGTAACAAATCAAGCACTGTGCTAAACGGAAGGAGTGAGCAGCAAATACCTTTCCAAAGGCTGAAATTGTGGTTATCTTTGTTCGCTTAGGACTTTCTTACTGTTTGCCATATGCAAAGAAGGAGATTGGAGTTACGTGGGTGACATTAAAGAACCTCTGTGCTTCAGGGAGGATGCTGAGCTCTATTTTGTATTTTCAGCTGTATCTGCACACTGTGTAGGAGACTTGAGTGACTGAGGAAGGAAGATGTTTCTACTTAAGAGCTGCAATTGGTAACCTACCCCATATAGCCTTGTGTCAAGGTATTTTGTATCTTCTTTCTTTCAGCTCCAGTTACTTAAGTTCCTATGTGTTAAGTTCCTACTTGAGTTCCTTTGTGAGGAACTCTTCCTAGTGATGGCCAGCAATAGAACTAGAGGAGATGGCTACAAACTGAAGCATCGGAAGTTCCACAGGAACTTAAAAATTTCTTAACAGTGAGGGTGCCAGAGCCCTGGAACAGGCTGCCCAGAGAGGTTGTGGAGTCTCCTTATTTAGAGATCTTTAAAACCCGCTTGGATGCAGCCCTGTGCCACGTGTTCTAGGTGACCGTGCGTGTGCAGGGGGTTTGGACTCGATGACCTCTGAGGTCCCTTCCAACCTCAACCGTTCTATGATTCTATGTGTTAGATGATTCAAAGTGTTAGAGTCTCATGCACAGGTTTTACCTTTGTTTTATGGACTTGATAGAGGCAAGCTGATCCAGTTTCTTCATACTGAGCAAACAAAGTGTGAGGTGAAAGCAGACTGCACATTTGGAAAGGAGACACCAAGCTTCAAGCATGTTTTAGCTTGAATCAAGCAAGCAATTAATTAAAATCCAGTGGCAAATACCCTGGCAGCCTTAATCAAACACAACCCTGCAATGGTCTCCATTGCCACAGCACTAGCAAGGAGAGAAGCAAAAAACAGGTGAAGTTTCTTGTACATAGAAAGCTTCTCTTGTTTTCTTAAGCTTAGCAGTTGACCTGCTAAAAAGAAAATCGGAAAGAAAAGGGAGGATTTAGTTGCTGTTGTCTACCAGTGGTTTTGTGGGTCTAGTACAGGACATTAGTATCTTGGAAACTGACTTGATGGGTTTGGTTTTCTAGGTATTCTACAGCTGGACAAGGTTTTGGAGCTGGTGACAGATCTGTGCTGTGAGAGTGCAGCGAAGCCACCGGACCCTCACGGCTCAAACCCTAGCATCGGCGGAGGGACATGAGCGCTTCTCAGTACGTGGGACCTCAGCCACGCTGCCTTCCTGGCTGCCATTTAGCTTGTGGTGAGTTTGTCTAACTGGAGGCCAGCCCTGGACATACTACATATTTAAAAATGGCATTGTTCTTAGATACCTAGTTTTTAAGAATTGTGATCCAGAAGGGTGGATTGGAATTAAGAAATCTTGGGCTAACATGAGTAGGCAGGTTTTTCTCTATAGAAACTTGTACAGAGAAGAGCCAAGGGAAGCTTGAGTGCAGCCTAATAACTGATGGTTGGTTGTAAAGGCAAGTGAATTTGACTGAAATCCGGTGTTGATAGATTCATTTGAGCAATCTGTGTGTTCTCAGAGAAGAGGACTCAAACTTGGGTATAAGTCAAGTTATAATTGCTTTATGCTACACTTGCCTCTTTCTCACACACCAGCTTGAATATGCCTTCCCTTAATATTTGGTAAGAAAGTGTTTACAATTGTTATAATGTTAAATATTTAAAATATTGCTAATATGTAGGAAGGCAGCTGTGTGTGACTATGAGTAAAATCATATGCTGTCATCTTTGGAGGTGCATCTGTAACCAGGAATAAATGCCCGCTGCAAAACATGAGTTTCCCCTGCAGCCCAAGCCAAATGAGCAATGGACTGCTGAGGAACTTGGTATCTTGGCTCGGATGTGATGACTGCCTTGCCTGTCTCGACACCAGAAAGACCAAGGCATCCTTCCTGTGGCTAGTGAGCTAGCTAGGCAGGTCAGACCACGTTTTGTTCAGGAGACAGGTGGGGAGAAGCATTGATTTTAAGTTGGAAGTTGTTACCTCACAGGATTAGCAGTGCTTCACTCTTAGGAAAGAATTCCTGGCAGCCAGGGGAACAGGGAGCAGCCAATGGAGGGTACCTAGGGAAATTCTGTAGAGATTTTTCTTCCACTATATTCCTCAATTTAATTCATCATTTTTAAACTGTAAATCATATGACATTTCACACATCTTGCAGGAAGGAGTCTCTGTTCACTATATGGCAGAGTATTTTCTTGGTCGTGTTTTAAACCTTCAATCAGCCCAAATGAAGAAGCTGTTCTGTTCCTTTGATCAGCTGGGTCTTCTTTTTCAAGACCTTTTACAGTTCAATTCCTCTGTATTTCTTTTGAGATGGAGAAATTGGGGACCAGAGCTTCCTGCAGTATTCAGGATACAGGTGTGCTGTGGATACATTCCATGACAAGAGTTTGTTTTCTGCTTTTTTGCTATTCCATTTCCAAGTAATTCCTCTTGTTTTTCGCTGCTGTTAAACTGATACTCTTGTAGGTTGCTTTGCCTCAGTCTTGTTCCTGAAGAGAATAACGAGGCTGTCATTACTTGGTTGGAGGTTAGGACTCCTTTTTTTCTGTATGGGTGACATTTTACACATTCCTGTTCCTGAGTTCTGTTTCATCATATACGCCCTCAACGTTGTAATGTATTTCTGCAGCTTGCTGTGCAGAGGTTTCCTTTTTACTGCTGTAAGTGGAAAATCATCATCTCAGTAATTACTTCACCTTTCTAGACCATGTATGAATAAACTGAGTAGCAAAGAAATACTATCAAAAATATTATCATTTATTTCTTCTCTCCAGTTGCTCTCTTTTAATCAATTTCCCATCTTAATCTTTTTTATCCCATGGCAGCTCAGTTCCTTTAAGAGGCTTCCATGAAAAGTATTAGTGGCTGTTGTGACTTTGGGTCTCCCTGTAAAAATGCTCTTGTAGTTCACATATTTGGCAATTATATCATAAACCTATCCTGTGTGCTTGTCAGGACTGAGACGAGAGTTGCTTCCCATCTGTGGGTTCCCTGACTGCCACTTCCTGAATCAGTCACTAACAGGGTGTAGAAATCTAGTTTATCTCGGTGCTTGATATCAAGTTTTCACATGTTACCTGACAGCAATTGAAATAATTGGAAATACTTGTTCCCTGATATTTCAGCATTCCACTGAGTTTCCTTTATGCCTATTGTGTCTCTGTCCTTGTTTAAGTTGAGCCTTCTGGGCGTGCACCACCGTATTTCTTAAGTCAGTTCTGTAAAATATGAGAACTGCTGCTCTGGCTTTGTTTCTCTCCTGTTTACATAGGGCTTGTTTTTAGCTTCAGTTTTCTGTTTGATGTTTGCCGACTTCTGTCCTGTTCCATAAGGGAGGATGTGGCATCTACGTTAGGAGTCGGAACAAATCATCCTTTGTGCCAGTTTGCTTTCTTCTACTTTTTCAGTCTAAAAGTGTCTGTGGTCTTCCTGATATGAGATGCAGATAAGAGGTGCAGATACTGTTTTCCTCTCAGTTCACGTGAACTGACTGTCTCTTTTTAGGGTCCTGCTACCGTAGAAATTTCAGCAGTTTCTGCTCAGTCTGAAGCTCTCTCCCTCATACAGCTGCTTTAGTCACACCTTGAGACTTTGCCTCCCGCCCAGCTGCAGCCCACACCATGATGGGGTCCTGGTCAACTTATATTCTGCATCCAGAATCTCCCCTTCCCTTACTTTTATTTTTGTACCCACGTGGACTGCATCTGCTGGCTTCTCAGCAGCGTTTCCCAACTTGTCCAGAGGTTCGTTAGTGTTAGACCAGAAGGCACTCAATACACAAGCCAAACCAGTTAGGTTCCTGGTAACTGAATCACCAATGACTGTTGCCCGTCTCTTCCTTCCAGATGGAGTTTCTGCCCCAGGGAAGTATTGGCAGCAAAAGAAGATGTGTAGTCACTTTCTATAAAGAGGGACCTGTGACCTTGATTATTATTACATCCTTGGTCAGTTTGATGCCTTTCTTTCACAAAACCAGGTCTGGGACAGCTTTTCTGTACCCCTGAAAACCTCCTCAGTTACCCTCTCTACTTCAGCAGCCCTGGGTGGTTTTGCCTGCAGATGAGACTGCCCCGTGATTCCCATGGGAGCTCTCTGTCATGGTGCGTTTTCCACGCAGGGTGCGATAATGTCAAGCGGATGGGCTCAGGCTCAGAGGCCTGTGGGCTGCCTGGAATGAACGAGTATCCACACCACCTACACGCTGGCCAGCTAATTGTATGACACTTGCTGCATTACCCTCCAAAATCCTCACCCTCTAGCCAAGGCTTCTGCCTGCGTTTCTCTTACGCACCTGGCCTGACTCAATAGAAATGTGCCTTTATGGGAGGGCAATGTAGCTTCCAGTTAAAGCATTGAGAAGCAATTACCTAATATGTGTTAGTGGCAACTGTATCCAGAGTGTTTCAGAAAAGATTATCCCGAGACCTCGATTGAACCTGAATGGCGAGAAGCTGAGGCTCATCTTTGGCATGGGTTTCATTCAAAAGAAGCTGCCCTTCCCAGAAAGACAGTGTTCCTATTAGGTGAGTATGTCCTGAACATGGTCTGGGAGGAAGAGATCCAGCCATGTAAGATGTGTTGGAAGCAGAGTGTTTCTGAGCTGGCAAGCCCTGGGCTTGGAGAGGTGTCAGATGAGGACAATTCGGGATGGAGGGGAAGCATCTCTAGGTGTTAGAAGCTTCACTGCAGTAAAGCAAAGGAAAGATACAGCACACACTTCTCTAATATTCTGTACTCCTTATCTGCATTTCATAACAGATGTCTCTATATGTATCTTTATCAAAGTTTCAATTTCACAAACTTATTTTAAGATTTGAGGGGGAAAAAACGTTGCCAACAAGAAAAGCCTGAGAACTGCTACCTTAGGCTCAAGGTTGTACTTGGATTAACTGACTTGCCAACTAAGCACAGGAAACTAGTGCAGACAGAAATGCTCGTCTAGATGACTTGTAGCTATTGCTTGTATAACAAAAACCTAGAAGAATCTTTCACGGGGAGAGTTGTCTGCAGCTAGATGGCCACAATCAAAACTGACTTTCAGGGAGTTAAAGCAGAATTATAAATTTACATGCACCTGCTGTACAGAAAGAAACTTTTATCTGGCCAGACTGCACAGTTAATGAAGTTTAAGGGAGATCCGAAGCTACATTGACAACTCTGTATTTGACCTGCGACTGAACATGGTCTCATCAGCTTATGCAAATTTTCTGCATTGGTCCTGCCCCTAACTTCTAATTTGCTTTTAATTGTACTAAAGAAGGAAATAAACTTGTCCTTGCAAAATTGTCAGGGCTCTTCTGATTTGGGGTGTTGCAGGGTGTAGTTAATACTCTGAAAAGGCTTTGGGATTCCTGGATGAAAGGTAAGATGAAAGAAGTGTACTGTTATTATTGTTTTAGGGGAGGAATCATGCTACTGGGTAAGCCTTTGTCACTGAGACTTGCTGGACTCGTTTGTTCTGACTTGCCTGTGACTCCTTGCTTTCCTAATTTGGACGATAAAGTCTCAAGTCTGCCGAGATGCTGCGCATTGTGTCGTGGCGCTCGGGACAGCACCTCTCTCGGACAAGGGCTGGCTTCTTGCTGGTACCCAGGGGTGAGTGCAACAGAGCCACCTGACCTGTCGCTCGCCAGCTTGGCTGGCGCGGCCGCGGGACGCGGGGGCTTGGGGACAGGTTCTGGGCTGCGACTGAAGCGGGGAGGATGGCACTAACTCAGACTTTGCCTGTGATTTGAGCTGCCCTCTGGAAATCACTGATCCTTCTGACGTTTCCTTCTTCTCGCCCCAAACGTATTTGCGCTTCAAGAACTCCCTGTGCTCCTCCACGGCAGGATGTTGTGACAAATCAAGGGGGGCTCTAACCCCCCGAGATTGAAATTGGGAGGCAAATGAGGGTCCTCGTGCTGCCTCCTAGCTCAGACGTGCGCCGTGCTGCCCCATTTAGGGCATACTGCGGGGAAGGCAGCTGAGAACACAGCGTGATGCCTTAGGTGCGCGGGGTGAAGTAGCAAAGGTAGTTGCTGCTCGTGTGGATTATTTTCCCAGTGGGGCTTTACGTGCAGTCGGTGAAGTGTTAATCTGTGCGGGATCTGCCTGGATTCGTACCAAACCTGGCACCAGAGCCTTTCACCCACCCTGCCTTGGAATGAAAGTCAGACTGAAGAAGACGGGCAGATTTTAGCTGGTGGGCTAGCATGTCATT